ATTGTGGATCTAGAAAGCAAGCAAAATAGCCTACATAAGTGAATGACTCAAAATAGATGGTTTGGGTGGTAGATGTAAAGGTGAAATGGTAGGCTATTTAATAATATGAGAGATGGTAGCGGAAGGATGTTATGGCTATGGTGAGGTTGATGAAACAATGGAATGGTTATGAGGTAGTATCTTAAAGAAGACTCAAAGAAGAACCAATGCTATAGAGAGCAAAGACTTAGACTTTATATTGCTTCTTTAAGGGGTGGTAATAAGAACTTGGACCCACTATCTATACGGAGATAGGAACCATAAGTATCAAGTGAAGGGGTTGACGCTACAATTATTAAAAATACTTGATAAGTCGATAAAAGTCACCAGGACTTTAGAAAATCGAATAATCTCACTTTAATTAATGAATAAGGTCTGATTACAAATGAATTATGATAGCCTATTTATAGGAAATGGAGAGGCATGTCCGAATAGATACATGGTGGTTCGGCCAGCCCTTGTGTCTCCCTATAAGGTCATAATTTACTTACAAAAAAGAAATGATGGTTCGGTTTAAATGAAGGGTAATAACCCTTGGCCGAATAGCTCTTGTGTCCCTTCTAGTTGACGTCAAATGGGAGAGGAAATGATGCTTGGCCGAATGGTTAGATGGCTCTTTATCTTGGCGCCTAAATGAGACCACATGAAAGGCACATGGTGGCTGGTCATATGGCACGCATATGGGTGTTCTAGGTAGCCTTGTGGTGCAGCCTTGTGCATAGGATGAAGGTTGGTCGTGTGCATCATCTTGGGCGTGCATGTGTCTTCCTCCAAGCTTGCTTGAGTGTGTAGCTAGCTAGTAAGCAAGGGGCTGGTTGTGAATGAGCTTCCTAACCGAGACCTTGTAAGCTTCCTAACAACACATTCAACTACATTCAGCTATTACTGATATCACTTTTAGCAACTTTACTTCAATTAATCCAACTAGCTGAGATTAGCTAGCCTTGACCTCCTCCAGCTGAGTTGAGCTTTCCTTAGTGTTCCACGAGCTGCCATGTACTTTATGAGCTATTTGTGAGCTGCATATGATGTCCAAATAATCCACCAAGCTACCCCAACGTGTTTCATGCTCCAATGTACCTACATGTGCAAGGAAACAAGGTAATTCCATGGCATTGAGCTGATATGAGCTAAATACCTTGTTGCCATGCATGGTTATGGTGTTGTGAGCTATGATTGCATGTCATGAGCTAAATATATAATCATATAATTTGTGTGAGCTAATGTTTAAAGCCTAAGAGCTAAATGAATGCATATGAGCTAACAAATGAATGATTAAGCATGATTTCCTTTCATGAATGTAATGAATCATGCTTAAATGGATGCAAAATTAATCTAACATACTTATAACATTGTGTATCAAAAGATGTGGATATATGTTGTATGCATGAATATCATATAACATGTATTCATAATAAATGATAAATGGAAACATGTAATAATAATATCCTAAGAAATGATATGTAATTATAACATATATTTGAATGATATGAAAGACATGATCAACTAAGCATAGGATGGAAATAATAATATGATAATTTATACTAACATGTGAATGCATGCTTATGATAGAATAGAATGTATAAATGATATAATATAAGCAGGGTCGGTTTTGGGCCTGTACGGGCTGTCCAACCACACATGGTCCAATTTTTATAAGGGCCTCAAAAAAAATTTAAGTCTTTTGTATATATGTGTTTTTAGGATGTTTGGCCCAAGAATTTTCAAATCCAATGCCCACATTAAATAATATTTTAGTTTTAAAAGGCGTATTTTACTGTTATGGCATAGGGCCACCAAAATTTACAAGACGATCCTGAATATAAGATAGGGTTATGAAGAACTCCCTTAGAAACAACTTTGAATAACATCCATGGTTTGTTCAAGTCATGGAGAAAGTTGGAGCTAGTTTGGATCGTATCAATAAGTCAATCCATACTCCAATCCTTCAACGATCACCACTTCAGTTCATAAAAAACAACACAGACAACCCAAATACTTATGATGGAAACTAGAAAGAAAGCATACATAAATAGCAACACCACAGGGATATACACGAAAAACATGCCTCAGCAAACCTGGTAAAAAAACACAGCAGCAGCACTGCACGAATAAAAAACATGTATTTCAACTCACTAACAACACAGCACCATGAAATCACTAACAACACATGTTAAATAATCATTTTGATGATTATGTTGTCAAACATGTGTAAAAGTGGTATTATATGATCATACACGACTTTTATAAGCCTTAAAAATTAAGACTTTAAAATAAATGTTTAGAGGAATGTTGGATGTGATTTTTGAACTTAGAATGACCAATAGATACCTATGTATGTGTATGATTATATATGACGGTAGAATATAGGTTATTACGCAGCCTGATTGCTTAATAATACCATACATCTACTTCCATTATTGTGTTTGTGGGAATTACTATCTGATTATTTGGTGAAACTGTGTGTCAATTTGTGGGCGTGTGGGAGGATCTTATGAGACGCGCTTGTATGGCACACGGGGAGGTTGAGTCATCAGACATTTATGCCAAGTTGTTTTCCAATACAGACAAGGTTTGATGTTCTGTAATGGGTAAGAAAGCGATGAAGGTGACAAAATAACAATAATTATCATATCTTCGTGGTCGGGATTTCAAATCAAGATGCAGCAGGTTGTGGGGGGGAGCTAGATCATCAGCAAGTGTTCTATGAATCGGATTATTCTGTTTGTGTCCTCTTCAAGAAATCAATTTGTTATTGTCGTTCTCATTGTTAAGGCGGGATTGTTATGGGGTGAGCTATTCGAAGCGGGGTGATTTTTATAGTTAGTCCTCAGCAGTTTTTGTTTTGAACCTCTTTTTCTGTTGCCATTTGTTTGTCCATGTTCTGAGTTTGGGTCGGTTTTGGTGTGTTCTGCATTTTCTGTCCGCCTCGTGCTCTTAGGTGTGGTGTCTTTAGGGAGATTTTTAACGAGGCACACAACTCAAGTTTAATTATTATTAAATAAATTCTTTGCTGAGGAAAAAAAAACTTATCATGTCTAAACTTTCATTAACTAAATCAGTTTGCAAATGCCTTCACGATCTTGTTAATATTTTATATCATATTTCAAAAATAAACTTGAACAAAAAACGTAATCAATGACTATAGTTTAGAAAATGAACAAATCTCAATCGTGACAAATTCTCATTACATTCTTAATTATGCTTTTATATATATTGAATATTATAATATTACTTTTTTTAAGTATAACATTCTTAAACATTACATTCTCATACATTACATCACATATGAATGTGCTCAAATTTCAATCTTGACAAATTCTAAAAAAAAGAGTTGAATTGGTAATCGGTCAAAACCAATAATTAATCTGTATACTTAACTTGTATAACTTGTCTATTTACATTAATTATTGTATAATGCGAAAATTAAGAATTATATTACCTAAAATTACAAGAAATATATTTATATAAAAGGTTACATAGAGCTTCTTTTGATTTTTTTTACATACAGAGAAAATTCAACTTTCCCAGAGTACTAAAAATTGTTTTATTTTTTTTAATTTTATGATTTTTTTAAAAAATTAAATTTTTATTCCAAATTTTTTAATAAGAATGATATTTTGTTTTATCTACGAGATCGATTAATGAATTATTAAAAAATTTGATATAAAAAGTTAATATTAATATGTGATCCTAGATAGAATAGTAAGATGCTTGTAAGTAGGGATGGCAAACGGGTACAGTTTCGTGGATTCCGCACCGCATCCGCTCCAATTGGAGCGGGGATGGGTATAATTTTAGCAGGTAGTGGGTGGGTGTGAATTTATAAAGTGGTACCCGTCGTGGGTGGTGGGCGGGTAATGGGTTTGAGACATTACCCGCCCCGCATCCGCCCGCCCCACATCCGCCCACCCAGCTAAATATCTATTAAATTTTGGACCATTATGAATTTAGGTGTAGTTTTAGAGACTAATTTATAAATTTTAATATTGTATAATATATAACATATAATTTATCCAAATATTAAGGATATTTAGTCTTTAATCTGATCTTTAATTAGGAAAATATTCAGCTCTTTGATTAAACCCATAATCCACTAATCACGTCACTTTCCATGTTCTTTAGCTCATGCTGCCCATCCAAATACAAATTAGTCGTACTATAAGCATTAACATCAAAAGTAACAGTTTTCATGTTCTTTAGCCCCTCAAAACCCATATTAGGCGCACTATGAGCATTAACATCGAAAGCAACACAACAATCCAGTTCTGCTACTACATGCTCCCTACAATCTGTCTCCATAACATTCGTAGAGCTACTCCTCTGACAAATTGAAGCATACGCTGCTACCACATCACGAACTGTCTGGGAACCAACTCCAACATCCCATTAGTTTGCTGTCAGGCTGGTCTAGATGGGTATGTCGCTAGTGGGTAGTGGGTGTGGGGATAGATTTGAAAATGTACCCGCGTAGGCGGGTGTGGATTTGAAAATTTGTACCCATCATGAGTGGTGGGCGGGTGGTGGATTGAAAAATATTAGGTGGGTATGGGGATGGGGATGGGGTATCCGCACCCGACCTGCCCGTTTGTCATCCCTACTTGTAAGTAAAATCCATGATGTTGACAGAAAACACGGTGTAAATATTAATTCCTCAAATCGAACGAAGTGTGTTGACTAATTATAAAATTTGACCAAGTAATATTGGCAAATGCGCGTAGCTTAAATTAAAAAGTAAAGATATAACGTTCCCCCCCCCCCTATCTTTTGCTTCATACAAAGCAAACAATTTTTATATTTAAAACTGGTTAAGAGAAAATTGAAGGGGTTAAGGTTAACTTGTAAGAAGCAGTCGAATTGGCCAATTCCATCATTACCAAATCATTAAAATAATCCCACTGGTTACCACTATAAATAAGCAACTCCACCAACTTTAAAAATTCACCCAAAACTCGATCGGAGAAATTAAACTCAAAAGCATATTTACTTCGCGATGGATTCTCGTGGCCTAATTCTCCTTCAAATCATTGTCTTGTCGAGCCTTGGGGCAAAAGCTTTCTCATTATCTCCTTATTACTATCAAAATATTTGTCCCCAAGCTTTGCCGACCATAAAAAAAGTAGTGCAGGCTGCTGTGTATAAAGAGCGACGTATGGGAGCTTCATTACTTCGTCTCCACTTCCACGACTGCTTCGTCAATGTATACTATATTTTAATTCTGAATGTTTTCAAGTAATCTTGAACATGGAGGTTTTAACTTGATTGTAATGCAGGGGTGTGATGCTTCGATTCTTCTTGATCCTTCGTCCACCATTGACAGCGAAAAGAACTCTCTCGCCAATCGAAATTCTGCTCGAGGATTCGAAGTAATCGACGAAATTAAGGCGGAGGTCGACAGGATTTGTGGACGCCCTGTGGTTTCTTGTGCTGATATATTGGCTGTTGCAGCACGAGATTCTGTAGTTGCAGTGCGTATTTACCATCATCCACCCTTCCAATTATCAAAATTTCGTTAAATTTCATGCATTTTGCTAATGAATATATATATATATATATATATATGTGTGTGTGTGTGCAGCTTGGAGGGCCGTCATGGAAAGTGCGACTTGGTCGGAGAGATTCAACGACAGCGAGTCGAACGCAGGCCGATGCCGATCTCCCGGCTCCATTGATGGATCTTCCAGCATTAATCAACAACTTCAAGAATCAAGGTCTAAACGAGAGAGATCTGGTAGCTCTTTCCGGTGGCCATACCATTGGGTTGGCACAATGTTTTACCTTTAGAAACCGAACTTATAACGCAACGAACATCGACCCTGCGTTTGCGGAAAATAGAAGAGCGAGCTGTCCACGCACCGGAGGAGACGCTAATCTTGCTCCTTTAGACGCAACGCCTGCAAGCTTTGACAATGCGTATTTCAACAACCTGGTGAAGCAAAGGGGTTTGCTCATTTCGGATCAAGCTCTTTTCAGTGGCGGCTCCACTGACGATCTCGTCAATACTTACAGAATGTACCCTCGCGTGTTTTGGAATGATTTTCGAAAGTCCATGATTAAGATGGGAAACTTGAAGCCTTTGACTGGAAACCACGGACAACTTCGCACCAACTGCAGAATGGTGAATTATTAAACACTACTATGTAATTGTTTTATGAAATTATTTTGATAAAACTTTGTTCCAATTGTTTTCAAATAAGCCCCTTTTCTATACCTGTTTGAATTTTTTATGAAATGCATGTACTGCTATGATCCCTCCGGTTCATAAATTGAAGTATATTAAATTTTAAACATGTTCAGTTTTCCATTGTCTTATATAATGTACCGACAATCATGATTAATTGTTTCAATCTTTTTCATGTTAAGTTTAAGTGTATCATATAAATATAGGCGTTATTAAATTAAAACCCCCCATAAATTATTATTTTTTGAATAATAACCCCTAGCATATTTGTTAGAAAAATAACTTCCTTCGTGCACACGTAAGACTAACTCGCGTCCTACTCAACGCGTGAATCTGTCTCGCATTTCACAGGACGCGAGGTACCATGCACTTTTCAGATTACCCAATTTAATATGGTTATTTAATATCTCGCGTTTTTTAGAACGCGAGATCTATGAGATATTCAACTGTCTCGAGAAATTTATCGCGAAAAGTATTCAATGTACCTCGCGTCTTCCAAGAAGCAAGACACGTTTTTCCAGCAAACCACAAGTGCTTATAGGCATGTTTTGGGGGAATTTTTGGGGTTTTAATCTCAAAATTTTTGTAATTTATAAGATTCTTCGCGTAGTATTGGAATTTATCTTTCAGTTGAGTCTAATATAAAGACATACGAGATATCGCAAGCGGGTTAAAAATCGGGTTGAAAATGGTTCCAAAGCTTGTTTTGTGCATGAAGGAAAAACTAAAATGGTTTGGTAGGCATATTCGAGGTTTTTTTATAGTTAATCTGACTAATTGCATAATTTATAAGAGTACAGGTGTGGTAATGTAACTTATTTTTCGATTGAGAGTAATATCGGCACATACGAGACATTGTAATCGGGGTAAAATTCGTGTTAAAAATGTTTCTAAAGCTTGTTTTTTCAAATAAAGAAGATGTTAACAAACTAATCGAGATTAGGGTGTGATCAATTAAGACATTTGTTCTACGTGTGCCAAGGATTCCTACAAATACTACAAAGTTTCGGTTGTCTGGTTCTTTCTCGATGGTCGACCAAATCCTCGTCACAGTAAATCCTCGTTGAGGATGGACGGCCCCATTTTTTGGCGTTGTAGTGCGAAATTTGAACTTATTGTAAGCTCATCATCAACCGCATCTGGATCCCTTTCATTTCCAATCAGAGGAAACTCGTACCGATACACATTGAATACGGTTTTTAGTAAGTACACACGACCAACGAATTGCATGTAGATAATCTATACAGAAGAACAAGCGACAATGACAAGCGGACACGAATATTTGAACGTTTGGAATACTCCACAGTCGCATGTTCTGTCACGTAGATTGATGATGTATGCATAGTGATGTATGCCTTCTAATGGCGTGGAATATTCCGAAACACGAAATTGATTTTGTTAGCAAGAGACGCATGTTACACTCATCACGTTTGAGTTCTGTAGAAAGGTTTACAATTTTTATTGGAGGTCTGGGTTGATTCTGTGACCACCTGCAATCCACTCAGTTGCTTGCCTTTCCAAAGTTGTAAACATGGTTGCCAAACGATAATATGTCTCTTTGACAACGGAAGTGATAGGCAAATGTCGCACTCCCTTCAATGATAAATTGATTGCCTCAGCCAAATTCGTTGTCATGTGACTATATCGTTTGCCCACATCAAATGACCGAAGCCATTTCTCCCTTGAGATTTTAGCAAGGTAATTGTAGTCTTCCTGATTCTTGTGTCCTAGTTCTTCAAACAACTCGTTAACCGTACGTGTGGAATGCGAGTGACATACCTATTGGATATACAATAGTTAATTATAAATAATAAATGATAAGGTATCTGAATCTAAATAAATTGAAAGGTGTACCCATTCGAAGCACCATTACACATTCATATTCGTTCCAAAATTTCTGCAAATAATTTACGACAATATGGCATAAACAGTACCGGTGATAAATATGGGGAGGCTTCCAAGATAGTCCCATGCACTCGATTACGTATCTGATCCCCACGCCTTTGTCAAAAATAAAACATATCCCACCACGATGCTCACTCAAAACATGTGATAGAACATGTTTGTGCAAGTACTTGAAGAAGAATTCCAAAGAGTCTATATCTTCCTTTTCGACTATTATGAATGCAAGGGGAATTGTTTTCCTATTGTTGTCATGTCCGCTGCTAACAACATTATTTGTGTGTACCTTCCATACAACCAAGTATCGTAGATCTGAACCATCGTCTTGTAGTGTCAAAATGCATTAACACACTATGGAAATGTCCAAAATAGCCAGTAAAATTGGCACATACCTTGTACGCCACAAATCTTTTTCATACACCAACATAGTTCCCAGTTTTACGATTATGCCCGTATGTATTTCTTCATCAGTTTCAGCCATGGTCGCAACTCTTTGTACGATTCTTCCCATTGGCCATACACTTTTTGTTGATCATGATACCTAGCGTACCTTACTTTATGGTAGTTAACAGTGTAGCCATATTGAGATGTGATTGCAGCAATACAACTGGAAACTGAAATATGTGGATTTTCTTTGACCAGTGGTACGAAGGCATCACAAAGCTCGTAAACATCTAAGTTTGGATGATCCTGAGAGATCCTATTGGCGGTGCATGTATGATGTTGTTCATATTTTGTTAGCCTCTATAGGTTGTTCATCATCTTTAAGCGTGATACACGAACCCTCCAATTACATTCGTTGGACTTGTGGACGTATTCATCTACGTACTTGTCCGCGACTATTTTTTTATTGTCGATATAACCAAGCGACATATTTTATAGTTCTTAATTACAACTACAATGAGTTCTTTTGTTATGAATATCATTCCAAGATAAATCTCACCATCACCATGTTCGTTGTATTGATCAAGCTGCGAGAATTTTGGAAAGTCCATAGCATTTAAAGGTTCCATCTCAACTGTTGTGAAGTGGGATGATGGCTAGTAATAGGAAAGTGCAGGCATAACATGTGGAATATCATCATCAAACTCTCCATCTGGAATGTCAAGGTCTTCTGGTTCTTTATTAAAGGGCCCACATCATCACCATTTGTGTCGATCTCCTTTAATTGTTCTTCGTTGGAAGTATCCCCATCAAATTGGAATAGTTTAGCGTTGTCTACTATGGGGACAGTAGGAGTAGTACCTATACATTGATCAAAAAATTGCTCACGAGATTGCTCATGAACTGTACTATGAAGATAAAAGTCAACAACACCAACACAAGAATGTCTCCCCATAAATGTTGGCAAATCTTCAAATGAGTTAAACGCTACTACTGTATGGATTGTATGTTATAAGTTACAGAGTCAAATCAAAGTCCAAGATTACGACACAATAATGCCTTGACATCGAAGAAGATGATTCACCAACGTCATTTCCCCAAGTAGTAACACTCAATAAGTTCATGTCATTGCGTAAATTACCTGTCGGACTATGGACAATAGGATCGAAGTCAAAATAATTTTGTCTCTAATTTGGGACAGCAATAGTATTATTATCATATGAGAAATTGGTATACAACTCAAGTGTCTCTTCTAACAAATATTGCATGTGGAAATCGATAATCATGTCCACATCACTATCATCGTCAACGTTGCATATTGAGTACGTTAGTGGTTCTAAAGATGTCGATAGTTGATACTTCAACGTGCTCATTTTTTCCCACAACCATGTGGAATAGCATTATTGACTTCTTTTGTTTACTTCTTATGAGTTAATTTCTTCGGCAAGGTTACTATCACAGTATGTGTGAACTGAAAGACAATGCCAAGAGATTCATCAAGCATCATTCTACCATCATAGTTTACCAAAGCAATAACAGTTCATTTCCTCGACATGTTCTGAAAATATATATGATCATGCAAAGAGAAGACCAAAATATGCACAAAATGTCAATGCCTTCAAACTAAGTAATAATCAAGAAGCGTCAAATAAATTTACAGGTGAGATTAAATTGAGTCTGCTGATCAATTCCCTTATTTGCTTTAACCTTGTGTCTATAGTTTTCTTCTTCACCACTATTTGCTTGAAAAACGAATTGGAATGGAAGTCTCATTTTTTAGTAGAATGACTTGTTGATGTGATGTGGAAGGGACTTAGCCGACCTTTAGAGAATATTTCTGACATTGAATGAACCTCGTGTTATGCAAAACGTGAGTTCTAGAGATTCTTGACGTGGTAGCAATTGTTTTGACATAGTGGTTTGACGTGTATATCACATTTTTCAAATTGAGCTTCAACAATCCCAATAATTGGTATAAGAGTTTGACTCATTAGAAGGCTTAACAACCTTAAGACGATCTTTAAAAAAGCTCTACCAATTCCTAAAGCAACTAAGAAGATGGCTTCGACCTCCAGCTCTTACTACATTGAAGACTCTCAACCGATCAACAAGTCACCTTACTTCAAATGAGCAAATTATGCCTATTGGAAAACTAGGATGATAATCTTCATTCAAGCCAACAATCTAGGAGCTTGGAACTCAATCGTTAAAAGATACTTTATTCCAACAGGTGAGATGGATGATTGGAGTGATGGAAAGAGAAAGAAGTTACAACTCAATACTAAGGCTATGCACATCAACTTTTGTGCATTAGGCCCGGATGAATAGGGAAGAGTCTTATCTTATTCCAATGCCAAGGAGATAAGGGACAAGCTCCAAGTCACTTATGAAGGAACAGATGAAGTGAGAGAAACCGAGATAAGTCTTCTCAACCATAACTACGAAAATTTCAAGATAAAATCATATGAAGACATCAAAGCTATGACGGATAGATTTTTTGTGATTGTCAATGGTCTCAAGGGATTTGAAGAAGTAATCCCGAATGAGAAACTTTTGAGGAAGATGGTCTACTCTCTTCCAAAGTCTTGGCAATCGAAGAAGAGAAGCTAAATACCTAAAGTCTCTCACTCTCAATGAGCTTATTGGTTCTCTTCTCACTCATGAGTTGATGATGAAAGAAAAGGAAGAAGATGAAGAGAAACAAAACAAGAAAAAGAATGAGGTAGGCATTGCCTTCAAATCCACTAATGAGAGCAATCAAGATTC